TTTTTTCCCTTTTTCCCCATTCCCTCCATCCCGGAGGGTTCCAGTCCTTCTCGCCGGGCTCGGGAGGAGGGACAGGCAGGAGCCCCGGCGGCAGAGGTGCTGTGACCTCCTCCGTCACTCACCCTCCGCGATCACTAATGACGTTTATGCCCGTTCGTTTCTCTTCTTTTCCCTTTTTCACACCCATTTCTCAGGGCACAAGCGCTGCTAAATTGCCGGACTTTTAGCAAGTCGTTGATTAACGCTTTATGACAATTTGATGCTTAAGGATTTAGGTCTTGTTTGCACCGATCTTTCTATTTTAAAGAGAAAAATCCCTCTCCACGCCCCCGTGTCCTGCCTTTTGCCCGTGCCCAGCCCCGCGCTGCGTGGGGAAGCGCTGGCATTGTTCCTTCCCTCTTTACCTTCAAGACGTGGCTTGAATTTAAGTCGAGGTGGGAGGAAAAAGTGTATTTCTTCTGGAATTGTGGCACGTTGGGGCTTTCTAAAATAAATCGGGCACAAGGGACGAGCTTTTCCAGTGACCTCCGTCTTTAGGCAGCAGCAACCAACCCCCCTCCCCAGCTCTGCGACCTTTTAAAGGCTCCATTCTTTCCCAATTTACAGGAAAAACGCCCCCCTCCCAACATGCTGGATCCAGGGAATTTTGTATTCCAGCCCTCCCTACGCTCTCCCAGCCCCGTGGCTGGAAGGAGAGGAGATGTGGAGGGAAAGGGGAGCAAAAAGGGAAGAAAAGACAGAGTGAATGCTAAGGGGAAAAATGCTTTAAATCTTTCCTGTAAATCTCCAAATATATGAAGTCTGAGGAACAAATTCAAAGCAGGCACGGCCGCCTGAAGAGAAGTTAGAGAGAAATATTCTGTTCCATTCAAGCGCATCAAGGGTCTCGCTGAAGTCTTGTTTGGCTAAGGTCAGACGAGACTGGTTTCTCCAATAAAAATAAATCTCAAATTAATTATGGCCTCAAGCGAGGGGCCAGACGTTCGGAGCTAGTGCACTGCAGTCTGTTTTTTTGGCCTTCAGTATTTTTGTTTTTTGTGCCTCAGCTTTTCAATAACTGCGGGATGGGGGAGGGAAGGAGGGCGGGGGCTGTTTTATTGGGACACGGAACTCAAATAAAAGCATCCAGGACACCCCTGGCTCGCCCCGCTCGCCCCTCATTGCGATGCAGCTTCAAAGCTCCTGCATCTTCTCCTCCCCACTTTTAAGACATTATGTTTTACTTAGTACCGATTAACGGGGAGTAACTTCCCGGCTTCAGCTCCCCAGATCTCCTGGGCTGTTCCTGTCGGGAGGAGGGACCCGATCCTTCAGTTCTGCGCCTGGAACACTCTCCTGATTCCCTTTTATTGCTGCAGCTGAAAAGCGGAGGTTTGCCCAATTAATTAGGTTTAAAATTGGGATTCGTTTCGGGGGAATCAAATCCCAGGGCTGCAGTTTGGGTTTTTTGCTTGTAAGAATGTGGGGTTAGAAAATAAACACGTTTTTCTTTCTGCGATGGGGTCAGTGCCAGAGGAAAGTCGGAGCCGGGGCTTTTAAACGTCCGCTGGAGCTGGGGGAGAGTTTCCCTCCAGTGACGGCTGGACGGGATAAACTGTGGCCCCCTGCAAGTCCAGAATGACGGGAATTGTTCAGAGAGAACAGAGCGTATGGCAAATTATCCAGAAAGCGGTATTATTACATACGCAACACACACAATGTGCCAGCGCGCGTTGTGTAAACACACTTGCATTGAAAGCTCGTTCTACAAAGAGGACACTTGACCACATTTGGTGGCAATGAGGCACGTTCTAGCCACAAAGCCAGGGCGTGGATGTTGGGGAGGGTTTTGAGCTCCCCTTCCTTATCCCCGCGTTATTCACAGCGCCAGCTCCAGGCTGGGCTCGGCGAGAGCTCAGCTGATGCTGTTGGGGCCAGAGAGGGTGACAGAAGCCAATCCCCTCTCCTCTCCTCGGAAAATCAGATTCCCAACCTGCAGTGGGGCTCGGGAAGGTTTTTATTGTGTTTGCTTCTAGGGAATAACCGGACGGTTTTATTTAATAAGTGATGCCCGCTAATCCCGTGTGGGTAACAGACAGAAAATCCAAATCTTTGGGGTTCTGCGAGGGACTGGCACAGACTACACCGGGAGTTAACTCCTTTGGGTCTGGACACGAAACAGCTTCAGGCCACATCCCCCAGTGGGCTGCGAGGATTCCATTCCTTTCGTTCAGATCGCTCCGAACGCGGCGTTTTCACCTTCTCCGTGTGGGGCTGCAGCCGCTGGGACCCAGCCCTAAGGACGGGGAGAGCAGCTGGGGACGTGCCAGGCGCCCGAGATCAATACTGAGCGAATCAAAAACTCCGCTCCACAATTCCGTTCCAGTCGTTAACGGAGTGAAATAGGAAAATAATAATAATAATAATAAATAGTAATAATAGAGGAGTAACTGACTTCTGCCAGCCTGTCCCGACGTAAGCATTTGACATCTTCCGTGGTTGCCAAGATCAAATGATTTTCCAGCTGTCTAGTGGCGACCACATTAAACAGATCCTAATTCCTCTGCTGTACGTACATGTGCAGCCGAAGGGCGAGCGACAGATCCAGAGTGGCGCACACTGCTCGGCGCCTTTCCCCCGCCTGCCTCGGCTCCCTCCTTCTTGGTTAAATGCAATAACAGTTTAAATCTCGTTTAGATAACACTTAAATACCCAGTTAAATACTAGTTAAAACCTCCGTCAAATACTCCGTTAAATAACAGTTAAATACCCAGAGTCACGGCACAACCACCTAGGATGATTCAGAGCTTGGCGTCCGGAGGTTATGAATATTTCAGCCTTTTCCAAAAAGCATGGCATAACTTCAAAGGCAGCTTTGGGTTTGGTTTTGAGGTTTTTAGGGGTTATTTTTGGGGGTTCTTTGTTTTGTTTTGGTTTTTGTTTTTTTTTTTTTGGGGGGGGGGTGGTGGGGTGGAAGGTGGGGGATTAAAACTAAAGCAGAAAGAAAAATTAATGCAAAGCTTCTATTTTTCGTTATTTGGGAAGAAAATAGCAGATTGTTTGGCTTGTCTTTAGAATGTGTAACACCTTCGGTCATTCCCTCATCTCTTGGATTCTCCCAAATGTTGCTTTGGCTCAAACACAGAAGGAGAAGCACGGAGCATCCCTGACAGAGCCGGTATCACAAGTGACCTGAGCAGGCTCCGCTTTAGTCATCCCCAGACATGCAAAATAAACCCCTTCGGGTCACGGTGCCCGTCTGGCCATAAAATGCAGAATTGAGTTCCAAAAATATCTCCCGGTGGGATGGCGGGGGGTCTGTTCGGCAACTTCCCGTCTTTGGGAGCGTCGGGGATGCGCAGCGGGGGCCGGATTTGTTCAGCCCGGGGCTGGGCAAAGGGGGTTTGAAGGAGCTGGAATCGGGGGTTTGAGGGTGCCGGGCTCAGGGGGTTTGAGGGTGCCGGGCTCAGGGCTTTGAGGGTGCTGGGTTCAGGGGTTTGAGGGTGCTGGAATCGGGGGTTTGAGGGTGCCGGGCTCAGGGGGGTTGAGGGTGCCGGGCTCAGGGGTTTGAGGGTGCTGGAATCGGGGGTTTGAGGGTGCCGGGTTCAGGGGTTTGAGGGTGCCGGGCTCAGGGGGTTTGAAGGTACTGGAATCGGGGCTTTGAGGGTGTCGGGCTCAGGGGGGTTGAGGGTGCCGGGTTCAGGGGTTTGAGGGTGTCGGGCTCAGGAGTTTTGAGGGTGTTGGGCTCAGGGGTTTGAGGGTGTCGGGCACAGGGGTTTTGGGGGTATCGGGGTCCTCTCCCACCAGCTGGGCCCGTTTTCAGGTGGTTTCCCCCCGCCTCTCCCGGATCCTAGGCTCCCCCACTGTCGGTCCCGCAGCCCCGACTCGAAGTGCCCTGTGAGGTTGGTGGGTAACAGAGGCTCCTGCCAGGGGATTTTTTCCTCTTCCTTTCGCGGTTGAGATCCTCAGCCTGTCCTCTCCCTCACCTCCCACCCGCGTTGCTTGTCGGGGCTGGTGGGGAGCGTTGTAGAGAGGAAACCATTCGGGTTTTGAAAGGACGCGTTTCACTCTTGCCTTTAACCTCTCGCTTTTGTGGCCGCTGCCGCCTGCAGCCACGCGGGAACGCCGAGGGGGAGCCGGGACCGGAGCATTGCTGGGGGGGGGCAGGACAGAGGGCACGGAAAAGCAAGAGGAATGAGGAAAGCAAAGGGTTAACGGTGATTTCTTTTAATTGAACTCCAGTTTTGTGGCCCTAGGCAAGGGGGGACCTGACCCCGCTAGCAGCATCCAGATGTGCTGCTCTCGGGGGACCCCGGCGCAGCCCCGGAGCGCGGAGCAGACGGGAGAGGCCGGGGCCGAGGGGAGGCGGCCGGGCTGGCCCTGCGCTCCCCCTTCACCTCCCGGCTGCAGGCGGCCTCAATCGCTGGCAGGAGCGAGCCAAAAACCTCCAGGTCTGGTCACGTTCAGCCCCGTGTCTGCATCCCAACTGAAAAATTGTAGCTGAATTGATGAGGCTAATTTCAGAGGAGGGGGAGGGAGGGGAGGGAGGGGCAAGGGGGATCTGCGGCTCTCTCCTGCCAGCTTCGGGCTTGGAGAAATAAAGTATTAATAAAGCATCTCTGCCGCAGCCGGGGAGAAACACCGGTGGCATTATTGCATTTCCCTTTTGGACGAGAGCAGGGGCAGGATAACTTTGGATATAATTTTGCTTCCCCTCATCCCCTTCCCCGTGGCTGGACTAAAGACGGGGGAAACAAAAAGCCTGGACACGACTGGCACTGGACAAGGTAACGCGCTCCACCGACGGGCAGGGTGTCCTCCTGCCCCGGCACTTTTCCTTCTCGCCTTCACCCTCCTTTCCCTCCCTGCTCTGTGCCCGCTTTGTGGAAGCGGGGCAGGAGGGCCGCCCCCGCTGTTGCATGATGTGTTCCGCCGTGGCTGTTTTGGCGAGGGCGGGGAGGGGGGGAGCTGGACAGGAGGGTATTGTCTCATTCCCCCGCTCCTTTGGAAGGCTTCGGCTTTTCCCGGAAAAAGGAAAACGCGCGTTTCTCCTCCGCCGCTCGCTCCGGTTCGAATGAGAGGGAGGACTGCACGTCAGGGGCTCGCCGGGTCTGAAGCGAGGTCTAAAGGCTGCTGGCTGAACATGAGGGGTTTTGTTTGCTGTGCCCGTCAGGACGCGGCACCGGAGCGGTACATGGGGCGGTTCCGATAGCTGTTGTGAGGTTCTGGCGTTTTTATCAAGTGGGGGTGTCCCCCTGCCCTGAGAGGATTTAACACCTTCGCGAGGAGCTCACACTGGGAAAGGAGGCTGGGCAAGGACTCCCGGCACCTGAAAGAAAGGACGGAAAGCCGTCCGTGCCCATGCTTTTCCTTCCCAGCCCACATCCCAGCCCGCGAGGCGAGAGCGGCCGGGAGCCCCGGCTCGCCCGCAGCCCCATCCGCAGCCTGTGTTCGATCCGTCTGTCTGTCCTGCATTAGTGCACTCCGCGCTCGCTCCTGCCAGGGGCTGCACCCTCGGCTCACGCTCCGTGCTGGGAGGCGTCAAGGAGAGGGCTCGCAATAAGCTTTGAATACGTTTTAATCGCCAGACTTTTTCTTTTCTCCCTCCGCCTGCCGTCACCGAATTGCATTTACGGTTTTCTCCCCTTAATTTTGCCCGTTGACTGGAAAACGCATTAATAAAAAAATTCTGTGGGAAGAGACGGAAATTCAGTGAGTCAGGCTAAAGCTGCTCCAGCCAAAAGAAAAAAAAAATGGCAAAACCCCACGTTAAACTAAGCCGTGAGATGACACAGGCTGGCTAGCACGGACTGGGGTGCGAGGAAAGCTCTGCGCTGGCCGGGCTGTCCCAGCGACAAACAGGAGCTGTGACAGAGGTGGCTATTGTTCTGCCTCTTCTTATCTAAATGGAGCAAATATCCTGTATGTAAAATATATATATTTTCATCAAGAAGGCAGGACCAGCGTAGAGACGAAGGTTTCCTCCTCGAGTGACTTCACTTCCCAAAATTAGCAGAAAAAAACGTTTCATCCGGTTAACTGTCTCTTTTTCGCTCTGCTGCAAGAAGCAAAGTTAAAAAAAGAGAGAGACCGAGAGAGAGGGAGGGAGGGAGAGAGAGGGGAAGAGGGGGTACGGAGAGAGCAACAAAACCGCTGGAAGGGCAGCGAGAAGAGCGAAAAGAGAGAGAAGGATAAAAAACTTCAGGAGGCGTCAGTCGCAGGCTAAACCGGGTCAATGTGTGGAATATTGCTGGTCCCGGCTGGAAGTTATTCCCGATGGACGGCACTATTAAGGTAAGGGGGCAGGAGGGGCCGGGGGTCCCCTCGGGCTGGGGGCTCTGGGAAGGGGCGCGGGGTGGGGGCCGGCTCCGGCCGGGCTCTCTCCTCCTCCTCCTCCTCCTCCTCCTCCTCCTCCTCCTCCTCCTCCTCCTCCGCTTTCGCCGCCGCCGCGTCCCGGGGCTCTCCGGCGCTCCCCGGCGCTCGGGGCTCCGCAGCCGGCCCGCAGCCCTGGGCCGGGGCCCGAGGAGGGCCCGGGCAGTGCCCGGCTCCGGGGCAGACCAGGGGCAGACCAGGGGCAGACCAGGGGCAGACCAGGGCCAGCTCTGTCCCCGGCGTGCCTCGGAGCTGCCCCGCTGGCCGTGCGTCCCCGGCCCCGCTGCTCGCCCGGCCCTGGCCGAGGCGCTCTGCCTCTGGTGCTCGCCCGCGAGTTTCCTCCGGCAGCTTTTTGGGGCTTTTTGGCGGGGAAAAAGCCCCGGGCTGGAGGAGAAACATCACCCAGGCCGGGGGGAAAGGGAAGCAGAGTGAGGCAAATAAACCACCAACATAACCAACCTCTGGTGGCCTTGAGCAAGCAGGGACGCCGCTGGGGCTGCGAGAGCAGTTCCCCCTCCTGCCCTGCGGCCGCTCCTTCGGCCCTGCACAGCCAAACCGAGCCCTCCAAGCACCCCGGGGTGCTGCTCCAGGCCGAGGCAGCGCAGGGCTGGCTGTGGGGGACCCCTGTGCGATTGTGACGGGCTCTTCTTAGGGAGCGCTGCGGAACAGAAGCCGCTGGAACAGAGGAGCCTTGAAGCGAGAGACGCTGTGGGTGTGTTTGGGTTGGAGGATTTCGAAAGATGCCTATCGCCTGCCTGGGTGGGGTGTCGAGCTCTGCTTAAAAGTGCTTTTTTTTTCTTTTTTTTTNTTTTTCTTTTTTTTTTTCTCTTTTAATTTTTTTTTTAAATTTATTTTGCTGACCTGGGTAGAACAAAGTTGCAAACGGGCAGGAACTGAAACTCTCCCTTAGACTGCAGCTTGTGACAAGTGCACGGTTTGGAAAGGTCTCATGAGAAGGGGGAGGGAAGGAGATGGGCAGGAAGAGAAAATGGAAAGAGGAAAGAAAGAGGGAATGAAAGGGTGAATGTCAGAAAGGAAGGGAGAAAGCAGGAGTGTTGAAAAGCACAATATCTGGGAGGTATGGCTGGAATAAGACAGGTTTTCCCCTCCACCTCCTCTGATCTGTAGCAAAAGTAACCTGGGCCTCATTCAGGATATATTTAATGCACCACAACTTTCTTTGATTTGTGGAGCCCTAAATATTGTGCAGTGAAAGTGCAGAAATTCCCCATCTGTGCCTTTGCTGTGGTGCACACGTGGCCCTGCTTTTCTGCACAGGCCAGGAGTCCCCTGCCCGGTCCCTGAGCAGAGCGGGGCCGTTCCCTGCTCCTCTGGAGCCCGGGAGCTGCTCCTGGCCCCGCTCCCTGAGCTCTCCCCCCGGCTGCGGTTTGGGGATGAGGAACTGCAGCGCTCCGAGCTGGGCTCAGTCACGCTGGAGGCTGCGGCCAAAGGAGGAACTCGGCCACAGCCCAGGTCACTGCCCGGGGCTGGGCCTGCCCTGCGGCTGCTCTGCAGCCACTCTGCCATGCCCTGCTGCCCTGCTAGGGCAGGAATCCGGGCACTCCTGGGGCTGGGAGACACGGCATCCAGACACAGCATCCAGACACAGCATTCAGAGATACAGCATTCAGAGGCAGCATCCAGACACGGGATCCAGACACGGGATCCAGGCACGGGATCCAGACACAGGATCCATCACAGCATCCAGACACGGGATCCAGGCACAGGATCCAGACACAGCATCCAGACACAGGATCCAGACACAGGATCCAGACACAGCATCCAGAGATAGGATCCAGAGGCAGCATCCAGAGACAGCATCCAGACATGGGATCCAGACACAGGATCCAGGCCCAGCATCCAGACACAGCATCCAGACAC